TCAACTATGCCTTTCTAATAGGTCTGGACAGGAATGAATGAATGGGTAGTTGATAGAGTTGGATGTCTCGAGACCACTTTTATGTGGTCTTGGTCTTGGTCTCGGATCCCTCGGTCTCGTCTTGGTCTTGCTGTCTCTGTCTTGCTCTCTCAGATCGACATAGTGGTTGGGAGATTTGGAGTCAACAGTATCCATGACACACAACGTAACGTTCGATAATGTGTCATGCGCAAAAGCATCAGCTCTAAGAGCCGTGCTTACAGAGTGCTTTGTAGTGAATCAGAAGAGTCGACTCCCATTGAGCGAGAGCCGGCTCCTCACTTAATTTCCTTTCGCTGCTCAGCTTTCACACAGTGGCCCAGCTATGCTCCAATCCCTCCATATTGTGGCCAATCACATGCAAGGATATAGGATAATACCATTATGTGAAAAACAGAGAGGGTGAGAGACGCGGCAGTCAAGTGGAGAGTGCGTCTGTCCTCTCAGTAAGTGAGTGAGACAGTAGACAGCGGTGAGGAGGGCTGTGCGAGTGCATCGCAAAAACACATAAATATGCCTGACACCTGTAAACGAACCAGAATCTGGCTGCAGTTTAAAGACTTTTTAGTCTCGGTCTTGGACTCGTCTCGACTTTGTCTTGGTCTTGACTCTGTCTGACTTGGTCTTGGTCTTGTCTTGGTCTCGATGCCCTCTGATCTTGGTATTGTCTTGGTCTTGGTTTAGGCGGTCTTGACTACAAGTCTAGTAGTTGAATGGCCAGCTAATAGGATGATCAGTAAGATCATGGTCGTTACAATCTAAAAAGATACAACGTGTGACAGAGCGATAGTTCAAGCTATCACATGATTTGGCATTCCAGGAAGTTCTCACTTTATTATTGTATGCATGCACTGGGAACCTTGTGTTAATGACTTTGCTGAAAGGGTTGAATTGAATATTGGTGAGAGTGTAAGTAGTGTGCATGAAGGTTATGCTGAGAAAATGGAAATGTGCCCATAAAATGACAAATGTGACCTTGAGCAGACTTTGGAAGAAGTAAGCTGAATTAAAACCTGACCAAATCTGATCAAATCTTATGTATTGTGAACATGTGGACAGTCAGATGACCTAAAAGGAAACATCAGATTCCTGCAGAAAATTAATAGTCACAGTAGAACTACACGTCTTTTAGGTATAGAGGTATATTTAATAAATGTGTGTTTTTCTCTGTGCAGATGAGACCCATGCAGACTGATGGCTGGCCAGAGATGAATGAGGGCAAACAGCCCAATGTGACGAGTGAGAAGGACCTGCAGCAGGCCAAAGCTGTTATTCTCGAATGGATCAAGGATATAAGAGCCCAGCCTGAGGTGGGAGGTTCAGACATACAACTAATATTTCCTTCAAAACAAAAAATAAGTTTGCTCATTGTTTTTTATTGACATTGATCATTCTGCAGCAAAGTGTGTGGCCCGGAGAACCAGTGGTGAAGAATCTGGAGGACGTGCAGTCCGCCTGGCGCTGGGGCCGTGCTCCCAATCTGCTGACCGCCATGGAGCTGCTTATGTGGACTTTAATGTTACAGCGGCCTGACAAGGTAGAAGTTCTTTCTGTAATCCACAGGTCAAACTTTACAGCTTGCATGACTCGCTGCAGTTAATCAATGAGGCCTCTTTGTTGTTTGTTCCTACAGGACACCATCCCACAGCAGTGGCTTCTGTGGAAACAGAAGACTCAGAAGATCGGTTTGTAAATCGTAAATCAAGCTGACTTTGGTTGTTTCTTTGGAAATATTTACCCTCTTATGAGTTTATCATTCTCTTTTTGCAGGTGCCATATCCTACATCCCTCAACCAGGTGAGATACTGTAGACCACGAATCACACATTACTATTCCCATGCTGGTGCATTTACACTATTAGATCCACTTACTTTTATTTTCCCTTTTTTTTGGCAGTGTGGGATTGGATTGCAGATGCTGCAGGTACAAAATTAAATATTTAATCAGCTTTTTTTTTTCCATATAATCTTTGCTCAACCTGTTTTGTAATTTAAACCTCTTCACATTTCCCCTCTAGTGGAGGTGACCCTGGATCTGGACACGGCCAACCCTGATCTGCTCATCTCTACTGATGAGAAAAGGATGCGCTGTGGCTTTGAGAGAAAAGATATTCCCAACTACCACCAGCGTTTTGACGGTTGGTGGTGTGCCGTTGGAACGGAGGGCTACGGCACTGGTCGCCGCTACTGGGAGGTGGAAGTGGGAGAGCGCGACTGGCGGCTGGGCGTTGCTAAAGAGTCGGCCCTGAGGAAAGGTTTTAAGTCGCTGAACACAGATACGGGGTACCTGACCTTGCGGCTGGAGAGGGGCACTGAGCTTAAGGCGCTGACGGTGCCATTCACCGCGCTGCCACCCGGCCTCATCCCCCGCAAGGTGGGCGTCTACCTCGACTATGACAACAACCAGCTGTCCTTCTATGATGTGGACAAACATTTCCACATTTACACCTACAACGAGAGCTTCGATGAGAAGCTTTTCCCACTGTTTGGCACAGTGGAGATCATCAAGGATCTGGTTATCAGGTCTCCAGCAGCCAAAACCCAGTGTCTGTGCTCCACATCTTGCATGTGGGGTTGAGTTTCCCTCAGTGGGCATTTCCTTTAAAAAAAAAATCAGTAGACATCATAGTGAAATATAACAATCCCAAATCACAGGGAGGTTGCAAAGGACCTTAAATGTGCTACAGAATAGCTTCACTTTGTGACCACTCTCTATGCTGCTGCTTTAATGTGATTGTTGCTTCCATTTTCTCACTACAGAGTTATAGTGCAACCCTTTTGCTCACATACGTGATGAAATGCCATCTAATGAAATGCCGTCATCTTCTTTCAAGAGAAACCTATAGTGTTAATGTGATGTATTGTGCATTATTAATCCAGCAATAAAATGCACTCGTGCGAATAATAAATAAACCAAATCTATGTCTTGATGCTTCATGTCTTTATTGATACTGCTGATATTCGGTTTGGTAATGTATTTAAAATATATACAGTTATATACAATTTATACACTCATCATTGGCATGAATGTCGTGTTAATTTTGGATTTCTTATTATTTCTTTGAACTGTCCTTTTTCCAGAGTGCAATGATTGTACGGCATATGTTTTGAATGACTGTAAAAAACAAGAATTGAGTGCACAAGTTTGAATTTATTATCCTTTCTTTTATTTGACGGGCATGGATTAGTATTTTTTCACCAACAAGGAGGTTCCCAAAAAGCTATTAGCAGAAAACTTAGCACATCTAAGTTAAGGGAAAAGGCTGAGCCATTCCAAATGACAAAAGAACTGGATTGAAAGTCTGTGACAACAGGTCTTATAGAGTGATGAATGTGAGTTTGAAGTATTTGGTTGAAATTGTTGTCAATATGTATGGGAGAGGTCAGGAGAGAAATACAATAGTGAGTGTCTACAGCCATCTGCAAAATGGTGGGCCCTGTCATGTTTTGGGGCTCTATTTTAGCTAGCAGTGTTGGGGATCTAATCAAGATTGATAAAATTAATAGCAGAAAGAAAAAAAAACTGAAAAAAAAGAACTAGATTACATTATAATCTATGATGCAACAAAACCTTGAAAACATTTGATTGGTAGTGGCTTCATTTTTCAGCATGACGATGATCCAGACCTTTTCAGACCAAACATTGTTACATTATGTCAGACGATTTTGTTTTATTTCATTATATATTTTTTGTTTATCTGAACACATACGTGTGTGTGTGTATATCTACATATATATTCGTATCTGTAAATGAAAATATATGTAGTGTGTATATATTGTTTTTTGTTTTATGTGTCTGAAACAAATAAAGATACAATACAATACAATACAATACAATCCTAAACAATGTAAATGTACAGAAGGGCCACCAGAAAAAAGTGGGCACGTCTCTTTTCTTCTATTCCAGAATTCTGAGGAAAAAGTCAGAATTCTGAAAATAGTTCTTTTCTTTTTTCCTCATTTTTTGACTGACTTTCTTTTCTCAGAATTCTGACCTTAATCTCAGAACTCTGACTTTTTCATCAGAATTATTTTCAGAATTCTGAGGGGGGGGAAAAAGAAAATTCTGAGAAAAAAGTCAGAATTCTGAGATTACAGTCAGAATTCCGAAAATAATTCAGAGGGGGAAAAAAGTCAGAATTCTGAGGGGGAAAAAAAGAAAATTCTGAGAAAAAAGTCTGAATTCTGAGATTACAGTCAGAATTTTGAAAATAATTCAGAGGAAAAAAAAGTCAGAATTCTGAGGGGGAAAAAAAAGAAAATTCTGAGAAAAAAGTCAGAATTCCGAAAATAATTCAGAGGGGGAAAAAAGTCAGAATTCTGAGATTACAGTCAGAATTTTGAAAATAATTCAGAGGAAAAAAAAAGTCAGAATTCTGAGGGGGGAAAAGTCAGAATTCTGAGGGGGGAAAAAAGAAAATTCTGAGAAAAAAGTCTGAATTCTGACATTTTTTTCATAGAATTCAGACTTTTTTCTCAGAACTCTGGAAAAGAAGAAAAAAAAAACATGTGCCCACTTTTCCCCCCCAGTGGACCTAATCCTCTTCCATACTAATCCTCTTCAGTACAACTACAGAATTCTTCCATAATTTGCATGTAAACCATGTAGGACACATCTAAAAGTATGTAAGCAGCTTCTTATAAACGTATTAGCCCCAGTACATCTTGCAGTGGAAATATTTGAAGTTTGTATGGTTTAAAGGTCCTTTTTTAGGAAATTCAGGACTTATTTGTAATCGACAGATAGAAGCTGAAAGGCGTATCAGCGGGACCAATCACAGAACTCGAACTCTTTCACCATGACAAAATGCAGATACAAAATAACGCATACAATTTTAATCAAATTTTAATCAAAATTTTAATCAAATAATACTATAACAAATATATTCAAACTGAAATTAACGCCGTTAAAAGAAGCAAACAAACAAAATATTTCTTTACATTTTTTTGTGTTTTACGCGCCCGTGATGACGTAATCACGGCGCGACGATGCCTAAGAAGATTTATATGAGTTCCCAGCAGGTAGTCGAACGATGACAACAAATTTAAAACAGGCCTTAAAAACCCACTTTGGGTTCGACACCTTCAGGTCTAAACTGCAGGAAGATGTTGTTAAAGCAGTCCAAAGAGGTAAGTCGACTCATTTTTCCTGTCTGCCTCTCTGTTAGATGAACGTTAGCAAGCTAACATAACTGCTGTTTGTCTTTAGTTTTGAATATGAGGTTCAGTTGGTTTTCACAGACAGTGAGAGACAGAATAATGTGTAACACGGTGGTCTCTGTGGTCTTCCTGCAGGTGACAGGGATGTGTTTGTGTGCATGCCTACTGGAGCAGGAAAGTCGCTCTGCTACCAGCTGCCTGCAGTGCTTGCTGAGGGCATTACTCTGGTTATATCCCCGTTAATCGCTCTCATTCAGGTTAGCGTCTGTCTCTAGCTCCTGAGCTCCAATCCAAAACCTTCAAATAAGTTTTGCAGTATCAGGTTTGCTTTAACCCCTGTTCGTGTTTCTATCCAGGACCAAGTGGATCACTTGAAGGAGTTAAACATCCCTGCCTGCTCCATCAACTCTAAGCTCCCAGTGAGTGAGCGCCGGTTGATCCTGGCCGACCTGGGAAGCAGCAACCCGAAGCTAAAGCTTCTCTACATCACTCCAGAGATGGTGGCCTCGCCCGCGTTCCAGCCCTGCCTGATGGACCTGTGCTCCCGTGGCTTGCTGTCTTACCTGGCTGTGGATGAGGCTCACTGCGTCTCGCAGTGGGGCCATGATTTCAGACCAGACTACCTCAAGCTGGGTGAACTGCGGGCTCGATTGCAAGGAGTTCCCTGTTTGGCCTTAACAGCAACAGCACCCAAGAATGTACAGGAGGACATCATTCAGTCCCTGAGGCTGTCCTCGCCGCTTTCTTTTCTTACACCCGTCTTCCGGAGTAACTTGCACTATGATGTGATTTTCAGGGAGCTGCTGCCAAACCCATACGTCCACCTTTGTGCCTTCATTAAGAAAACATTATCACTTGGAGGTGGATCTAACGGACAGGTTTGTAGACTGTAGGCTGTCATGTGTTATCCTTTTTACAAACAGAAATATTCAGATAGAGTAGCGACAGTTTGCCTAAGGGGTTTACATTTTTGGCCACAAGTTTAAAAATACTCATCATGGGCATGAATGTCATGTAAATTCTGAGCTTTTAATTACTTTTTTTTTAAACTGTTCTTTTTGCATTGGGGAATGATTGTATGTGACTTTAAAAAAACAAGAATTGGGTGCAAAATAATTGACTTGGGATTTTCTCTGATCCACACAATGTCGAAAGTGTAGATACAGGCTCCATAAATAGATACAACCCCTATAATTAAATTAGATTACATTAAGCATCACTTATAAAAAGGTTTAAACGACTTTGCCATTTACATTTAAAAAAATAATAATAAAATAAAACAAACAAATAAAAAAAAAAACAGAACAAGTTTTTAATTATTGAAGCATTTTAGCAGCTGTATGTTTTACTTCTAGAATGACTTTTTGTTAAATTTTATTTCAGGATTGTTTGTGTGCCTTTTCTCTGTTTTATAACATTTCTGTTGTTATTAACGGCTTGATTGAGCTCACACAGCATTTTCTTGTGTGAATACAACTGATTTTGTTGCCTAGAGTGGAGAAATAACACTCTTTGCCATTTTGTTCATGCAAACTCTGGTTTAATCAAACTGTCTGGTGTTCGTAAACAGGGTTGTGGGATTGTGTACTGTCGGACCAGGGAAGGCTGTGAGACAGTAGCTCACCAGCTGACGAAGCTTGGAGTCGTAGCTAAGCCGTATCATGCAGGTAAAATTATTTTATTTTATTTTATTTTTTACCTTTTTTTTTTTTTTTAATACATCTATATAAACTGATCAGGCATAAGATTATGAGCACAGACAGGTAAAGGGAATAACACTCATTAATCCTTCATTGTGGCACCTCATAGTGGGTGGGAAATATTAGAGAGCATTTTGTCCTCAAAGTTCATGTGTTAGCAGAAAAAAGGGCAAACAAAAGGATTTGACAAACTCATGCGTAGAAGACTGGATCAGAGCATCACCAAAAACTACATCTCTTGTGCGGCGTTCCTAGATGCAGTTGTCAGTATCTATCAAAAGTGGTCCAAGAAGGGAGCAGTGGTGAACCGGGGGGAATGAAGGCTGGCTATCCAAGAGATTAGCTACTATAGCTCAAATTGCTGGACCAGAGAGCAATGGAAGAAGGTGGCCTGGTCTGATGAATCACATTTTTTGTGGATGGTCAGATGCTTAGTTACCTGGGGAACATCTGGCACCAGGATGCACTATGGGAAGAAGGTGAGCTGGCAGAGGCAGTGTTCTGCTGGGGTCCCTTGGATGACTTTGGGTTACTTTGACTTGTACCAACTACTTAAGCATTGCTTCAGACAATGTTAACCCCTTCATGGGACTTGTATCCTCTGATGGCTGTGGCCTGTTTGAATGGTAAATGGCCTGTATTTGTATAGCGCTTTACATGTTCAGTCATCCACCCATTCACACACACATTCACACACTGGTGATGGCAAGCTACATTGTTGACTTGACCTTCAAATTTCCCAGATCTAACTCCAATTGAGCATCTTTGGGATGTGCTGGACAAACAAGTCCAATCCACGGAGGCCCAACCTCGCAACTTACAGGACTTAAAATATCTGCCGCTAACATCTTGGTGCCCAACACCACAGCACACCTTTCTGGGTCTAACGGAGTCCCATACCTCGATGGGTCAGGGCTGTTTTTTGGCAGCAAAAGCAGAACGAGCACAATATTAGGCAGCTGGTCATGATGTTATGCCTGATCTGTGTATAGGATGTGTAAAATTTAGTGTTTGAACTCTACTTTTGTAGGCTTGAAGGCAACAGATCGGACAGGGGTACAGAATGAGTGGATGCAGGGGAAAGTGCTGGTTATTGTGGCTACCATCAGCTTTGGCATGGGAGTAGATAAGGCCAATGTCAGGTGAGGCTGCAAATCCACAGTTATCACTCGCATTCTTCTTGTATCTAGTTTTTTGGGTTTTTTTGTTTTTTTTTTCCCTGCCATTGTGTATTCAAATGTTTCTGCAGATTTGTAGCTCACTGGAACCTCGCTAAGTCTCTGGCCAGCTACTACCAAGAGTCTGGGCGAGCGGGGAGAGATGGCCTGCCCTCCGCCTGTCGCACATACTACTCTCCGAGAGATAAGGAGCAAATTAATTTCCTCATTCGGCAGGAAGTGGCAAGAAAGCAGGTCAGATTAACAGCAGAGCAGGGTGGAAAGCTCTTTGCTGCACAGTTTTTATATGTGTTTAAATGTGTCTGCAGGAAAAACGGGGCTTTGCAAAGGACACTGACAAAACCGCAATGACTGACTTTGAAGCCATGGTGTCTTTTTGTGAACAAGAAGGGTAAGTAAAGGATTCACACATGCGGTGACAGGTTATAATTATTGTTATTTTTATTATTATTTACATACAGATCAAAGCATAACTGACAATAAGTGCAGGCTTAAAGCATTACATCATAACATAACGCCTTCACCTGTTCCACAGTATGTAACGTGCAGTTTTAGATAAAGAGTGCATTTCTGTTTCTGGACAGCAGAGGGCAGATTTCCTCTCTTACCATCCTTTGAAAGCTGCTTCCTGCTTGAGGCTCTTGACTAACTCAGAAGTCTGACTGCCAGTTCTCATTACTTTAGAGTGACACATCATTATGTTTAGAAAGCTCTGAGAAAAAACAATCCAATCGGGCATTCCCAGTCATTTCTCACTGTTTGCCTAAAGTTAGTTTCATACACATGTTCAGTCCTGTATGGTCCAAGAAGTTTCTGCCTGATTCACACACAGCTGGAGTTGGCCCTGCCCTGTCCTCAGGGATCGCTGTTGGGAGTGCAGTGATGCTCCAAGGAATGTGGACTCTCCTGAAAGCCTGTTGACTCGAGCAGGTGTGTTTGGCAGCGTTGCAGGACATCCTTTACGGTGTTTGGCAGGTGTTTTGTTGTCCAAGGGTTGAGGTTCTTTAGTGCTGCACAGCATGCACCCTGTACAATTCTTGTGTGTGTGTGTGTGTGTGTGTTTCTAAAACACGATCAGGACTCGCTGTGTGGAGAGCTTGCAGTTGTGTCTGTTTTTGCTCAAAGGTCGGGACCCTTTAGCTTCCTCTTGCGACAGCAGCAGCTGCAGCAGCCGCAGCAGAAGCTCGCGCAGGTCACCACTGTGATGAGCAGGACTAAAACTGTGGGAGAGCAGCAAATAAACAATGTCATGACCAGCTTATTGATGAACAAGCAATGTGGGGGGGGGAAAAACATATCGACAAAAAACTCACGAATAAAAGTTAGCAGGACGAAGAAAGCTCCCAGCTCTATGGGGTTGGCGTTGGGCAGACCTTGAAGCTTGACCCAGATTCTGCCAAGGAGGTTCAGCGTCTGTTCTCTGGCATCCATCCTAGTGAAGACAGGTATACAGCACCTCTTTTATTTCCCTTGCAATCTAGGTATTTCTCCTGTTGCTCACTGGTGACACTGTGAGTGGGGCGAGGTGGAATTGCTATTTACATGTCAGAGCTAAGCAGTTTTTCAGCCTGTGGTTTAGTGGGCGGGTTGTCATGAGAAAGCAGGAATCTCACTGCCCGAGAAGAAACGTGTGTCTGATAGAAAGCGGTAAATGCACTGGTGCTTTTTCTGTGCCTGAACAATTTTAATCCAACCGGGTTTAAAAGTGTTCTGGAGGAACAATATTCTGCTCTGTCATGCAGGCTGTAAGAGGTGGGGATCGAACCGCCGACCTTTGATTAATAGAGAAGCTGCTCTGTTTACGAGAGTATCGTAAACAGACGGGCTGATTCACATATGGGTTGAGTTAACAAGAGGAACAGAACGAGGCCCTTCTCTGTGATAAATGTGTTAATCAGACGGCTCTGCAGACACTTCAGTGTGTGCAATAGGCGGTGGTAGGGTGGCAAGTCATTGAGCTGGTGCTGAATTGCTGGAATGGGTGTGACAGCGTGTGGCATTTCTAGTTTTGAGAGTTCTTTGTAACTAACACTTGCAGTACGAAGCATAAAAGGATAAAAACTATTGAAAATAACTACAATGAGTTATTACACTGACACTGAGGACAAAGCCTGGAAACTTGGGGGTCAACATGACGTCTTGATAATTCAGAGGAGTTATGGTAGTGTATCCTCCTTCTGATCACATGCTTTTGAGTATTATAGATGTAAACATCCTGGTTCCAGAAGTGTGGATAAGGTGGTAATACTATCCAAAGTACACTGTTAGAAATCAGGATACTGTGGCATACCTTAGCCAGGTTTCACAGCTTTCTTTGTTCTCAGTGGCCGAGCTGGTGACAGATCAGATCAGGGATCAACTCCACCCACAGGATCTGTAAACCTGCACTGTGTAATTTATGCAAGTGTATGTGTCTCGTGTTCCTTGTCAGAAACCTGTATCGCATATACTCAAAACCAGGATGAGATCGGGGGAAGATTTGCATGATCACAAGCTAACTTGTCCTTCCTGGCTTTGAAAATTTAAATGTGGGGAAAGGTTGTGCTGCATTGCTTTAACTGTGTATAAGTGTAATGTGTTGTTTCCAGTAAAATCCAGTAATACATATCTGCTCTGCTCACTGGAAAAAAGCCACAGAGCTAACTCAGTACTTTTATAAAACAGCTTAAATGGACCACATGTATTGCAGTGTATTATAGCTATGCTACACACAGTGATGTGGGAAATGAATGCTACAAAATATTTTCATGCTATTTTTTAAAAATCCTACTATGAAAGTGTAAGTCAGGGGAAAAGGAAGGATTGATTTTCCAACCATGCGGGCTGTTCCTACCTGAGACCGTGAGCTTGTGTGGAACGCGATGCTGATTAATAACAGATTTTGGAGCTCACTGTATGTTCGTTAAAACGATGAACAGTATTTACAGATCACATGCGTGTGACTCTGAGAAATTCTCTATTTTTAAACACATTTTACACGTTCGTCTACTTGAATTGTTTTTCTCACGCTGCGCTCGCACACAAACATTTAAAAGCACTTACCTGCTGATCGGAAACTTCTTGTCGTTTCTTTGTTTGTTTGTTTAGTTTGGGGGGTTTTTTTTGTGAAACTTGGCCGAGCCTAAACTGTCAGAAATCGCAAAACCAGTTGGCAATTAGGAGTCGGTCGGAAACGTGTCATTCTCTTCTTTCCCCTGACGGAGCTGCCAGCTGAGTGCCTTTGCTTTAGGCTGCGTGCTAATTCGTTTGTGGGGACGTCATCCGGAGGAGGAGTGGTGCTCGGGCGAGCCTGAGATTAGCAGTGGAGGTTGAGATATAGTTAAGAGGGTTAATTCCACTGTCACTGATGACAAACTGCACGTGAGGGGGGGAAAGTAGACGATAACAAATTTCATCCGGCGCTCTTCTGCCCTCTTTCACGCTGCTCTGACTCCTCAGTCGCTTTGAGTCTTCTCATCTCTTCCCCTCTTCCAGGCTTCTTGTTGCTCCCTTTGTTTGTTTTCTTTGGTTTTTTGATTTGTGGCTGTCTCACACGCGCACATACAGAGTAGTTACTGCTGTGTCTTACTTTTCTTTGTCTGCCTCAAAGGCTGTTTTCTCTTTGATAGTCCTGCTTCACAGAGCTTTGTTTGCCTCTCTGTCGTTCCCCACCTCTTCTAGTGCTTCTCTTTGTTTCATGAAAGGGAAGGTGGCAGCATTTCCACTTCTAGCAAGGTAGCTGGTATGTTGCTGAAATGACTCGTCTAATGGGCTGTTTCCCAAGTGCGTGCGTGTGCGTGTGTGTGTGAATACTGGCCGTTGCGTAATGCTGGATATGATAGTGTGATACAAGAGACCTTTTTTCTGAAAGGAAAATCCCGTCTAAAGCAGGGATTGTGAACAGAAACATGCTGCAGAGGAAGCGGGTGACCTGCTGTCAGACATTAATAGTATTTATTTATTTTTTTCAAAAACCTTGAAATTGTAAGAAAACAACGCTGAACGACTGTTTCCAAATCCAGACTTTGTGCCTCTGCATCCATCCTTCATATCCGTCGATAACAGTTAGTTAGGGTTAGTGTTGATGCAACTGCGTTGTGTTTTTCATGGGACAAAGAGTGGCGCTTGACCTATTTCATAACAAAAGTATTGATTATGGGGATTGATGTGGTGGTTACACAACAACTAAAAGATCAATATTGTTTCTAAAACATTATCAGAAAGATGAGATGATGCCTTTTTGCAACTGCAAACTGCAGAGTGTGTTTTCTTTAACTCGTCTGTTCAACGGTAGCTCTTTTCTCGTCCTGCCACCAGTTGCCGCCATGCCACCATCTCAAAGTTTTTCGGCAACACGGCGCCGAACTGCGCGGGGGCCTGCGACTACTGCCGTAACCCCAAGTTGGTGCGAGCGCAGCTGGAGAGAGCGGCCACACTCAGCACCAAGATCGGTGCGGCTCAGAGCAGCGAGCCCAAGGGAGCGTTCGGGTTCCAGCCGGACACTTATGGAGGAGGAAAGAAGGGTTACGGCTTTGAAAGGCAGGACGATTTTTAGTGATGTTGTGTGAAATGTCCCGTTTGCATTTATGACTTGATGGTTGATCCTGTAGGTTAACACCGATGTTTTGCTTCGCAGGTATGATGAAGGGGAAGGTTATAGTGAAGATGATCCTTTTAAGAGGAAGAAGGAGTTTTCTGAGCTTTTCAAGAAGCAGATGAGCATGCGCAAGGTGATTACCACAAAAAAAGAAATAGAGAAAATCAGCTCATACTCTTTGGGCAAAATATATACGTTATTTCTAAATGTAAGGACAGCATCTCCAGAGTGTTTGTGTTGTGCCTCTGCACATCTGTAAGCCATCTGGGGCTATCAGGCCCTGTAAATGCTGCTTTTGCTAAATGGCTCCCACATGTTCAGTGGAATTTTTACAACATTTGAACTAAAGTATTCCTCATCAGGTCCAAGAGGAGGTTGGCCAAACTGTTTATAACATAGCATAAAAAGCAAGAATGCCATGATTATTTAAAAAAAAGTAGAAACTGAGCAGGAAGAACAAACAAGTCATTATAGTGTGTGGAGAGTTATGGAGGTTATTGATGCCTCAGGGCTTCGTTGCTCAGAGCTTCATTTAAATGTTGCTAGCTTAAAACTATGGTTCTTTTATCTTTCTTCCTTTACACAGTAAAGAGACATTCTGCACTTCAACTACACATGCACAGGCTTTTGGACGATGATAAAATGTTGTTAATTGTGGTGGATATTAAATCAAGCCATCATGATGCGATTGAAGTGCCAACTTTCAGCTTTAACTCTGAAAGTTTTTACAAAACTGTCGCATTAGCTGTTTGGAAGCTACAGACATTTGTACACACAGTCCCCCGTTATCCGTCTTTGTGTTATTTTCATGAAATGTTAAGCAGAAGAAAATCAGAGGTGGATTAGACTGAAAAAACAAAGTAACTATCAGAGAGGGAGAGTTGCCAGTCACACAGTCATGTTCTTTCTTAAAAATGCTGAGTGCACTGACCAGCTCAGCAACATCAAAACGCCTGAAAAACGTGGATGATGACAGAATTATTTCTATGGTTATGAAAAACATCCTTAAAATGTCTAAAAAAAAAAAAAAAAAAGTCCTTAACAGTCATCATTAACAACGTCTAAAATGGAGATGGCTCGATGAATGGAAACAGAAAGGCTAGATCACAAAATATCCAAAAGACCCTGAAAACAGTTCAGCGCTGAGAGAAATCTGGAGATGGAGAGAAACGGCTCGTGATTGGAAGCATACCACATCACCTGTCAAACATGGCGGAGGCAGTGATATAGATGGGCATGTGTGGCTGCCAGCGGATATAGATCACTAGCTTTTATTGATGATGGTGACTGCTGATGGATGTGCACAGGCCTATACTCTCTGCTCAGATTCAGAAAAATGCTGCAAAACTGATCAGAGCTTCACAGCACAAATGGAAAATGACACAAAGCAACTCAAGAGTTTCTGAAGGAGAAGAAATGGAAGATTCTTCAATTGCCAAGCCAGTCAGCTGATCTCTAACCAACAGAGCAAATACAAAGCTAAATGCAAAGAGACTCACAAACAAGAAGCAACTGAAGGTGGATGAAGTCCAGGCCAAGCAGCTCAAGGGGGGAAACGGCAGTCTACGCTTCATCCAAGTATTAAAAACAATCTATATTCGTTTCTCCAGTTCATTTTAATAAACAGTTAATGCAGAATTATTTGATAATCCCTTGAATTAAATGAGAAAGTCTGCACATTCAGTGATGTGATGTGTACAGAGGCAAAACAACAAAAAATTGCGTCGTGGTCCCAAAGCCGTATATAATAAATGCTCACTGTTGTCTTCTATGTTCTGGCTTTAATACACGTGTGAATACTGAAGGCTTCCCTTCTGCCTGTGCTCGTGTTTATTTAGGGTAACGACAGCAGTCAGAGGGAAGAGTTTGTTCCTCCAGGTAACGTGTAACACGAACAGTAAAAATGATTGTGAATAACTCTCTCTGTCCTGTTTTGTAACCGGTGTTATTCTGCTGTGTAGATATCGACTGCCCGCTTAGAGAGGCCAGCAGCCAGAGAATTCCCAAGCTCAGTGTAAAGGTACAAGACAAAACTTGAACACTACGCACACATTCCTCATATCTGCTGCATTTATGAACACGTCCTTCAGCGACTCAGGTCATGTGATGAGAAAAGCAGCGTTAAAAAACCCAAAACGCAGCAGCTTAAAAGGCTGTGGCTCGTTGGTGTTTGACATTTTGTACAGTAAAAGTAGAAAGTGAGCGCTTTCCGAGGCGCTAATAAGATTCATATTGTATTTCAGGCCAGAGAGCACTGCCTGTACCTCCTGCAGGAGGCACTTCAAGGCCAGCAGGGGGCAGAAGATGCACTCAAGTACTTATCTAGATTCATTCAGATTTTTTTTTTTTTTTTTTTTTAAAAAGGAAAACTGGAGGTTTTTGTGGCTGCAGAGTATTCAGAGGAAAACATGTTTTCTTTCCCCCCCAGCTGAAGCGTAAGAGGGTAGGGGCAGGCCAACGGGGCTCTTCTAACCCCTTCATAACTGCTAAGGATTTAATAAACCCCTCCATGTTGGAAACAGGGGCTAACAAAGGTAGGACAAGCGGCGGATTTTTCAATGGCTACTCAGGAGAAACCATTATGCAGGGAAAAGAAGCCAACACAGATGCATCATCGCCCATCAAAGCCAAAGCAAATGCCGTCACGACCTCCCTGAGCAGCCCGACTAAAGGAGGCAGAGCCATGAGCAAGAAGCAGCAGAAGCTGGCGGAAGCAGCAAAGAGTTCCCACAACATTTCTCATTTTTTCATGAAGAAACATACTCCAGAGAAAAGCCAGGATGAGGAAGAGATGCCGAGGGAGCCCGAAGCCGCTTTATCTCCCGCTCCAGCTTCCATCTCCCAGGAATACATCAACCAGGAACCACACTCACCTGCTGCATCAGAAGGAGAGAGCAGTGCTGCACAGTCAGAGACTGAGGATGTGATCCTCGTAGAAAGCAAATCTGAGATAATTGTTATACCTGATGATGACGAGGAGGACGGAGCTGATATTGCAGAACCAGTTCAAGAGACATCTGAGCAGGACCTGACGTCCATCACAGAGTATTTGATTCTTAATTTGATCAGAAATAGCGGAAAAAAGCCTTTTATTGACTTTTAACTGCTTTTTCTTCCCCCTGTTCCCCCACAGACAAAACAAAGACGAAGAAGAACTTAAACCAAGTGAAGAAGAGGTTAACGCAAATGAAATTCCCGGGGTAGGTGTCTGTACACCCACAAAAGTCCTCCTTGAAACAAGTCTTTCCGCTCAGCAGTTTGAAGCTAGATGAAGTGCTCCAAAGGCTTTATAAGTTTGTCCAAAAATAAGACTTTTGGACAAATGTATAAAGACAAAGTAAAGTTTTAAGAGATTAGAGTTTGAGCATGATAATCTGTCTTACACTCAGATTGGGGTTTTTCCACAGGAAGTCAGTTGGCATACAATTTTAGCATTCACTGTATGGACAAAAGAACTGGGCCACCTACACATTCAGCAACTCATGGAAACTCATGACATGAAGCTCCTGGCGCACAGTTTCTGTGCTGATGTTAATGCCAGAGGTTTTGAGCTTGTCAGTTATTCAATCAGTGGAGCTTTAGCAACTTTTACGAAATACCAAATGGCGTGTTCGACAAAGCACCTGAAGTATGCAGGAGTGGGTCGAAATCTGTCACTCTTCAGTTTTCCTTATAATTTCCTGCATAGCTTCAGACAATATTGAATTATCAGTATAGAAAAACACATTTAGCCTCTTTCCACAATCCACACAATCTAAATCCAAAGTCTCGTTTTTGTTCAGCATAATTTCTCTTTTCTATAACAGACTTTGAGCATCAGCATGATGGGGATAGATTTTAGTTTTAATAGAAAACTCCTCATTAAAGTCCATGTTGTAAAGAAGGGATGTCAAACTCATTTTACATCGTGGGCCACGTACAGATCACTTTGATCTTAAGTGGGCGGCCCAGTGAAACTCCTTTCTGATAGTGTAAAGATGTTTAGCCACACATTTAATCCCCTATATTTTTAAATATATCTGCTCTGTGAACCATCTGTAAAAATCATAAATTTCTCTAGTATGTTGTGAAGGAACGGTAACACTCTGTTAGTTAATGGTTTATCTCTTACTTAGAGATATCTCTGAGGACCATGGGGAGAAAGCCATTAAACATATGAAAATACAGTTAAAATTCTAAAATTTATACCATCCTATACATTTTCCAAAGATATCCAGATTGGAGTCTTTGGCAGGCCAAACCATAGATTTCAGTTCTGCCTGGAGTCCTGAGTCTGACTTTATGCTTGTGAACAATCATGACATGTGTGTCCAGGTGACAGATGACATGAAAACCATGACGGAGTCTCCCCCTCCGGCGAAGCGCAGCCGGCCCGGGAATGAGAGCAGCAGGAGAGTAACCTTCAACCCCAACGTGCAGGAGAGAGCCCTGCACCCGGTCACTGAATCGCCCAAGCCTGTAACACTTAAGGAAGCAGCTGATATCGTGGTCCGCTACCTGGACCCTTTTTACACTCAGGGAAAGTTTGCCACAAAGGTGAGCGAGTGCTGTGTTTGTAAAAAAGTAGGGTTGCGATTTAAAAGCAGAATGATTAAAATTCTTTCTTTATTTCGCAGGAGCTGTTTAAGTCTTTCGCTCGCTACTTGTCTCACCTTCTTACAGAGGGAAGGAGCAGGGGGAAAGGCCAAGGTAAAGGGTGCATGGGAAATTTCTAACTTGCAGTTTGCTTTGTGTGCTGGTCCTCTTTAACTCCAGCCTCTGGGTCCACAGTGAAAGCAGAGGCCAAGGCTCTCATCAAGAAGTTCTTCAGCAGCGTCCAGCGCTGTGAGAGCGAGGCAGACTGGAAGCACCTTAAGAGACCTCACAGCTGTAAAACCACAGCCAAAAGTGAATGAATGGGGGGAGGAAATGTGTAGCCCTTCCTCTTTGACAGTGCCTAAACTTCTCCGGTTACGATGACCTCAGGCTTTGTCACAGATGCCTGCTGACGAGGTTTATGGTCCACTTGCTGCTATTTTGTTATTCTTTTAAAATGTTTTCCAGGATGGTTGCTGATACTGTAACTTGGGTTAATAAATAGTAAGCAATAAAACAGGGACAGTTTTTCAGCCTGAGAGATCAGACAGATGCATGTGTGAGACTTCTTTTTAAACTGCAAACAGTGTGTAATTCACATGGTCTTATTACATCACAGTGCAGAGTTATGCAAACCCAGTGGTGCTTGGAGCAGGAAGCCAGCTGAGGTTTTTCACAGGCTTCTCATAGCAGGAAAAGCAGAGGTATAATTATTGGCATTCAAACAACTGCGTGCGATTTTGAGCAAGCTGGTTTGGGGATCTTCCGATGTTGCCATACTGGAACATTTAATCCCTTCTCTGTGTGTGTGTGTGTGTGTGTGTGTGTGTGTGTGTGTGTGTGTGTGTGTGTGTTTTTTAAGTCAATGGGGGAATAAAATGCACAAAACACATGTTTTAATGCTTCTGTTTCTGGCAGACTATCTTACTTGCTCTTACATTTTATGTTTTTGTTTATTCGTCTTAAATACTGGAACTAGTTTTGTTTAGTTTGTTTTTTTTATTCATGCAATCTACTGTGAAACTGTCCAGCTTGAATTTTCCTGTATTTAAAAATATTCTGTCTCTCAGCAGGGGGAGAATCTGTGATGCAGGGCATTTTCGTTTTCTTTTCATTTCCTAAAACATGGTTTCCAATGATGAAAGCATATAAAAGGCGACTGTATCAGTCCCCACAGTCGGGAAGAAACCAAAAGCAAAGATGGCCACTGAGGCCCAGCTGTGGGGAGTCCTGGTGGCCACAGTGGAGCCAATCTGTGCTGCAGATTGTTCACAATAAAGTCTGTGTCGAATACAAAGTACCAAACAGTGTGAGACGTCTCTTATTATTGTTGTTATTATTAACTGTACAGGAGACGTCCCTGGTGGGGACGCTGTCAAGTAAACGATGATGTCATCTTTAGTAGTGCTGCTTTCAGGAACTCCTGCTAACATAGGACTCAAGAGCCTCCCACACTTTTTATGAGTAATGTCATTGCTTATGTTGGTAAATACACAGTAGTCAACATCATTTATGAAAAGGGTGTGTATTTATTTTAATCATCGTGATTATGTGTTAATTTACCTACATTATAAAGAATCCAGCCCTTTTTGGCAACTTAAAATGTGTTTATAGTACCATTATGTTTTACTTGTTTCAATTTCCGCTGGCCCTTTTGGCCAGATCTCTCTCTTGTAAGCTTTGGATAGTGGCCGGATCAATCCAAATATCAAAAGTATTGATACGAACGCTGATATTGGTATCAGCTCAATATCAATATTTGCAGTACTGCACAGTAAAATGGTCTGTTAAAAAAAGTCTATTAGCCTCACTGATAGGGTAAAAACAGCACTGAATTCGTTAAGGGAACAGTAGAAGAAGAATCTCAAAAGACTAACGTTGCAAACAGCACTTTTCTCCCACAGCACGTAAACGCAGCACCAGCAGCGTTTGGTTACTCAGCTGCCGCCTGGCTGCCAGTCTGCGTCCGCTGCTGCTGCTGCACATCAAAGCCTGAAGAGACACCGCGGAGACGCTGTCAGCCTCCTCCAACCTGCTTCACGTCGAGGCCGCTCGGATGCGGGGTGCTTCATATCTGCGGACGCTTCGAGAAGAAGAAGGAGAAGGAGCAGGTGCACCGAAGTCCCCGCCGCCGAGGTTTCCTCTCTCTGAGTGATTTGGGGGGGGGGAGCTGTTGTTCGTTGTCACTTCCGGGCGAGTAGTCGGTACCACCGGCAGCTCACATCGCCGGCGGAGGAGGAGAAGAAGAGGAAGTTCGGCAGCATCGATGCTTCGCGCGGGGAGGATGGAGGAGTTTGTCACGGAGGAAGAGGAGCCGTGGTACGACCAGCGGGACCTGGAGCAAGGTGAGCCCACTCCTCCCAACCCCACCCCTCTTCTATTAGCAATCACTGGCCCCCGGGTGTTCATGCATTTAGAGGTGGGTGGAAAACCGGGAGGAGGTTGCACCTCTTAAAGGCAACTCATGCACGAGTTGGAGCTGCCTGCCCTTCATCTCATCAATTACTCCGATCCTGTCAGCGGTGGTTCGGACAGCAGTCCTCCTGTCAGACTGACTGAATGTCTTCCTCTCATCTCAAGCTGTTTTTCTCTCTCAAATCCATCAGCCCACTTGCTGTGGAGCTGCATGACGTTATTTTGGGTGTATGTTCCTAACAAAAAGGTCAGCACAGTATGTGCAGCAAATCCCCAGAACTTTGTAGATTTTTGAATAAAATGAAAGAAGCAAAGAGCAGCAAAGGCAGCAGCTCAGACTGTTTATTGTTGCTCCTCCTTGCTGCTGTGTGACCAGCCCTGCCAGAAAAATGGCTTTAAAAGGCTGCAGTTTCACTGAGAGTGCGTCTGAGGAGAGCTGTGCTCTGGAAAGCCTGCATCCTCCTGCAGCAGCATCACCCCATCTCCTGATTACCTGCTGACCCAGAGAGCTAAAGCAGCTTTGTAGCGTCATTGTGCAGCGTGCATGGAGAGGCAGGTGGATTTGACTCCCTGTGTGTGTGTGTCCATCATCAGAATTTCATCTCAGCATTATTCAGCATACAGACTAAAGTCATTAGCCCCCCCAACCCCACTCTGTCCCCATCCCGCAGGCTGATCTGATTAGGGAGCCCCAGACGAAGCCTCCTTAGTGGAGATCAGAGATTTGAGGCTTTTCGGGGTCAGACTGGAAGCGTAATTACCGTCAAGCTCTCACTGTGCCACACAAATACACTGCGTGCACTTTAGAGCCTGGCATCATTTTGCCCCAGAAATTATGCTGTGTTATGCAACTTTTCTGCTGCCGGATCTACTATTTGGTGACACCACCCCCTACCTCTGTGTGGTTATTAGAATCAGGCAAACATGGAAAATGAGTCCTGGCAGATGGTGTGGTTAGTCCTGCAGCTTCATCTGACCTGTGAGGGGGGGGCTGTCGCATGAGGAGTTAGAGTTCAGTCCCTGTGATGAGGATGACTTTCTCAGCAAGGCCTCCTGCACAGAACTCAGAAGTTATATAACAGAAGACTCTCGGCACGTGCCCGCCACAGGGACAGAAGCGGCGCCGTGACTGTGAGGTGCCGTGCGAACTCTCCTCCAACGCCTCTTCCTCAGCTCATTAGCGCTCTCCGGTTCAGGCTGGAGTTTTGCTATCTCTTCTGTCTTGTTGAAGCATGTCCTTGCCTCCCCTCGCTGCGTTTTAGGCGACAGAGAGGATGCACAGCGTGCACAAATGGAGCTTGTTAAATATATTAGATAAGGCAGAGGTGTTACATGCAAATGAGCCCAATCGGATCTAATCTTTTGGGTTTTACACCTGCAGAACTGCATGCATGCAGGCTTGTGTTTTTATCCTCTGCGTTGGGTTGAAAAAACACTCCATTCACTGCTCAGTAATGGATGTCAGTGCCTCTCTGTCTCCTCCCGTCCCTCCACTCCCCCATGTTTGTTATGAGCTCCAAACATACAGAGCCAGCAGGATTCTCCTCCTCCTCCTCTTCAGTCCAGCTTGTTTTTATCCACCAGAGGAGGATGAATAATGGATGCTTCACGCTGTGTCAGAAAATATCAGCAACTGTTAAGGTGTTGTCAGAGCTCAGGCTCCTGCTGTGCGCACAACTGCAGGCTTTTATCAGCATGATGTGAAGAGAAACCAATCTGCAAGAAAACTATTGTGATCTTTAAAATAAATGCACGGTAATATTTGGTGCCTGTTCTCTTTATCTTGGTTTTCATTAAGTCATCCACAAACAAGCCTGAACAACTGGTTTTAGCCGTAAAGCCCTGAGAGCGAACTCTGCTTATGTCTGTCCTTCTCTCCCATCTCTCGTCAGACCTGCATTTGGCAGCGGAGCTCGGCAAGACCCTCCTGGAACGCAACAAAGAGCTGGAGGACTCTCTGCAGCAGATGTACATCAACAACGAGGAGCAAGTGCAAGAGATTGAGGTGTGCTACTCCTGGGCTGCTGCCCGTCTGTGTTCCTTTCCTACTCAGTTATGGTGTAAAGTGAGGGGAAGAAATGGCAGAAAGCAGCACGAGTGTGTGAGAAGAAAAAAACACGTGCAGAATGCGTCAGCCTCTTCACAGCTCAAAATCTGCATGTGGTGTTAGCGACGAGGCTCGCCGAGGGTAAAGTAAACACCTGATGAGAGCCTCTGAAAATGTATTCTCAGTCTTAGAGATAGACACATAAAGTCAATGTATCGAATTTTGGCGAAACCTGTATATAAACTCGTTAGCCACTATATTAGGAACACCTTACCAATACTGAGTTGGACCCCATTTTCCTTCTGCGCTGTCCTAATTTTTTGTGGTACAAATTTCAAGTCAAGTCAAGTGGCTCTATTGTTATTGCAACCATGTGCAGTGATACAGTACACAGTGAAACGTTCCTCCGAGGCCATGGTGCTACATATGACATATAACAGACAATCTAAACAGCACTGCATAAAGTGCAATGTGCAAAAAAACAAAACAAAGACAGTGCAACACCAACCTGAACAGAACGATACAGACACAACACAGTGCATGCACAACAGTGCAATGGAAATGTGCAAAAGACTGAGCATTGTGCAAAAAGCCACTTGGTATATGAAGGTGTGTGTGTGCGTGCGTGCATGCATGCGTGTGTGTGTGTGTGTGTGTGTTTTAATCCAGTCACTGAGTGTTCGGGAGTCTGACAGCTCGGGATAAGAAACTGTTTCGCAGTCTAGCAGTGAGGGCCTGATTACTCCGGTATCTCTTGCCCGAAGGCAGCAGGGTGAAGAGTGTGTGTGGGGTGTGTGGGGTCCTCCACAATGCTGTTGGCTTTGCAGATGTACCAAAGTGAGGTGACTGTGGAGCCCATTTAAGTACAGTGAACTCAGTGTCATGTTCAAGAAACCAGTTTGAAATGATTAGTTTTGTGACATGGTGTGCTGTCATGCAGAAGGTGAGTACACTGTGGTCATAAAGGGACAGGCATGGGCAACAACAATACTCTGGTGTCTGTGGTGCTTAAACTATACTCAGTGGGAACTTATTAGTGCAGTGTGCAATTTTGTGACCTTGTGTAATTTGTAGCCTCAATTTCTTGTTCTTAGTTGGCAGGAGTGACAGCTGGTGTGCTCTTCTGCTGCTGCAGTGTTCAGAGATGCTCTTCTGCTTACCTTGGTTTTAATAAGTTGCTGTGGACTTTCTATCAGCTTGAAGCTCTATGGCCATTCACCTCTGACCTCTGACATCAACAAGGCATTTTCTCCCAGAGAACTGCCGCTCTTTGTTCTGACCATTCTCTGTAAACCTTTAAGTTAGATTATTAGATGTAGATTTTCCACTGTTCTGGCTTAGATGTCTCACAGTTTTGACTGACACTACCCACGA